AAGTTGGCACCTTTCAGGCGGTAGCCAGCATTAACAAGCACGTGTCTGGTGTTTATTATCACCAGACATTTTTGTTGGCAGCCTTGAACGAGCCCTATGAAACAGCATGTGGACCCATTGGATACTGAAACCCGCCACTGAAACCAATGTTAATGGAAATCCTGTATTTAGTGAGGAACTCATCTCAGCAAGACGCCTCACCTTCTCAGTGTCAGGGCAGCCGCTGTGTTCGACCACATCTTTGTGGATAATAATCTTTTGTTCGGCTCTATTTGGACTGTGTCCAGTCGAGGGGGAGACGAGAGCGGAATACGAAGCAGGAGAGAGGAAATGTCAGGAGTCAAAACCACAGAGAGGTGTGAGGAGATGTGAGAAAAGCAGAGGGAGAGGAAAGACAGATCTTAAAAAAAAGGACGTGTGAAAACCCCAACCGTTTCCTCCGTGTCCATCATCGTCTGGTTCTCCTGTAAACCAGACCCGGACCGACCGGGTGCAAACTCACACTCGTGCCTTTGTCACTTCAACAGAAAATCAACAAATTAACATGTCATAGGTGATCCGTGTGTGTGGTCTTAAAAACTGCAGCTGCCTTTCCATAGTTTGGTTTTTGTATGAAACCCGCTGGGCCGCTCGCAGCTGCATGCAGGAGGTGGAAAATGGAACAGAGGTGAATTGTAAATCACTAAAGAATCAGCTTTACCATCTGCTAATTCTTCCTCAATCCATTCACTTTCCACCAATTTACTGTTTGAAAAAGGCCTCTCATAAGTCCCATTTCCACAAAGCTGTGCAGTTCATTACAGTACGTATTTATTGGCGTTTCCACTCTCAAAAGTTGGGAACGGATACCAAAATAACCGAACCGCAACTGGCTACTTTTTTGCTACCCTTCTGTTGGGGAGCCAAGCTAGGCACACTGCAGTCTGTCGAAAGAATGGTCACCTTTTCCTGCAACAGCGGTAATAAAGGACAAACACAAAACGCGCCATGTTTAAATGTTGCATGGATTTCAAGGCGGATTTTGTTCTGCTCATGTCAGCGGGTAGCACTGACCCATGGACGACCTCGGAGGTGCAGCTCTTTGCTGGACGTCCTCCATTGTTGTCTTTTCTTTACTGTGTTGAGTTCTTCTTCGTTGAATTTGTTGGCGGGCTACACTGTGTCACACTGCTATGATGTCACGCTATTATGTAGCTAAGGTGGCTATAGCCATCAGGCCAACTAAGGGTACATTTGGCTGTGGAAACCAAGCAGGATCAGTGGCAAACCGGACCGGACTGTGCTGAACCAAACTGGACCGCTTGGAGGAAATGAGGCTCTTTGCTTTATCCATTTTAAGAAGCTGATTTTTACACACTTTGTTACACAAACATTGTTTTGTTCCCTGTCAAAAATCACTGTAACCCTGTAAAAAAAAGATTCTGGCCTGACTTGGGGTTTTGTTGCGTAAGTGCCTTGCCCAAAGGCAGGATGATGGTATTTCCTGAAGAAGTGGAGAGCGTTACTCATTCACCTGTACTTTACCCCAAATGTTCCTCTTCTTCTAACAAGCCAGTATCTCTTAAAAGCTTAAAGCTGAGTCTGTATTCACAAAGGAGGATGTGGCTGCTTAGAACATTCAGAGTATTTTTTACAATGTCTCTGACCTTGGAGTTGAAGTCTGACGGTGGTCGCTTCAGACGCTTCTTGTCTTGCTGTCGAGGCAGACACTTCTTCTTCCCTCCCTCAAAGTTCCTGCAGCCTCATTAAAATGATTCTTCCCCTTTTGCACAGTGCCCTGTGAATAAAACGTGCCCTCTCTCTGTTCCTTTTTTTTTTTTTACTACATCTGGATCCCATCCTGCTTCCTGAGGTTAAGATTGAACCATCATGAGTTTCCAGCTGCTGGAGATCCCGTTCCAGTGGCTGTAACCCTGAATGGATGAACCAGAGAGAGCGAGAGGAAGATGGAGAGATTTCGGGGTAATGTAGGGAGCAAAAGAGAGAGATGGGTACAGAGATGTGGTAGAGTTTATGTGTTATGTGTCTACAGTCGGTTCAAGACGAGGTGATTGGCCGGATTGATTTCCGCTCCTAAAGTAAACTACAGAGTGGCTCAGACTGCAGGATAATAGGGCTGATTTGTGGTTGCTTCCAAACAATTGAGTTCCAGACTCGAGGCTTCTTGGAACCGATTATCTGCCCAGATTATTTTGTAGTGTGAGTGGTATAAAGATCCTAACCTCGCTGGTCTGCTCAGAGAGCACCGAGTCCTCCCCGATTTATAACAAACACGTTTGATATTTATACATAACCGATAGCCGGTTATGTCGTGCGCCCCATGCTGATGCGACGAGGACTTTAGCCTCTGTACATGGGGCTAAAGCCGTGGGTTCAAATTCGACCTCGGCCCTTTGCTGTGTGTCATCCTCCACTCTCTCCTCCTGTCTCACCTGTCCTTTCTATTGAAGGCTAAACGGCCCAGAAAGAGTCCGACAGGAGAAAAACCAGATGAAAAAAAATTGACCTTGGCTCTTAAAGGAAGAGTGTGAAACATGTTCCACTAAATAAATCATAAAGTCTGTCCTGTGTAAATGTGTCTCTGAGTCCTGACTGTCTACAATGAGGGAGAAGCTCGAGTCCCGCTGGCTGTGTTGTTGTCAGAGCCGTGTTTACATGGACGGGACGGCCGGCTCCTCCCCTTGTGTATAAAAGCTGTTTTAGTCAAGAACTAGAGAAGAAGAAGAACATACTCACTGATTATTTGGATGTTAGTAAGAGTTTTTAGATCACGCTCATTCTGTGTCAGTTTACATGAAATGTGAAGCTACGAGCTAACTAAAGAGCGCTAACATTAGCATGCTAACTCAACAATGCAGCTCGAGCAGAGGATGATTTTGTCCGCTAGTTGTGCTTAATGGTGCTTAATTATGGTGTGTTCTAATTGATATCTCCTTTGTGTGAATGTGAGTGGAGGGGTTGGAGGTGTGTCTCTGGAGGAGAGCGGAGGCTTCAGTATGGAGGAGGTGTGGCCTAACAGGAAGTTTGTTTTGGTTTCATGCTGGTGCTAAAGGGTGACATCTACTGGATCAGAAAGTCGCACATTCTTCCATTAAATTACTTTCTGAACATTGTTGGGTAGGTTTCTGTAAACTTAAACTGCATCATATTTCTACAGAAACACTTCCAGTTGGATTATTGGTTGAATAGTTCAGTCTACTAATTCTGCTTTGAATGCTTGTACATTAAAACATAATTTTTTAATTTTGTGCCTGTCTTACTTATATCTGTATCTGTAAGTGTTGATTGAGTTTTTGATAACTCAGATGAACAGTTTTGGTATTTGAGTTTACATCAGGGTCATTTTGAGGTCTTTGAATCATTGACAGTCAGCACAGTGTTGGTATCATCATAAATAACGAGCCAAACCAAAGCAGTGTGATTATAGGATACACACACAGCAGCTCTTCATGTAACTGTTTGTTTTTGCTTGTTGTGTGATCTCTGATCCAACAGTGGGCTTCATGTTTGAGCAGTAAATAACGGGTAGACGTGTTGACAACCACTGAGCTAATTTGACACAGGTGCGCTGTATACGTCTGGAGAACACACAGAGATGAATACAGATTTATCGCAAAGCGAGATCAAACTGGAAAACAGATGTGAGGAGCAGAGCCTCAGCAGCTGGTTTGTCGTCTTCTCCACTGTGCTGTTGTAGCTGTACTAGTGACATCTATTGGAAACCACCGGGAACTTTCTCCTTCCCTTCCCTCTGCAGGATGCTACAGAGGGAGGGGAAGTTTGTTAAAAACACGTTCTGCTGGTCTAATCAATCATTTTTTAGTTTTGTAGCTGTGAACTGCAGACACAATAGCACGTCTGAGTCAGCAGTCTGTAGGGACCAAGTCTGGAAATTGGTCTGGTTGCTGGAGAGGGGCCAGTCCACTTCCTGAGCACTGCAGAAGTGCCCTTGAGCAAGACACCGAACCCCCAACTGCTCGGGCTCTTTCATGTGCAGCCCCCTCCCTCTGACATCTCTCCAGTAGTGATGTCAAGCATGATTATGGACTCTAGGCACCCCCCATTCTTTTATTTTTGATAGTTTGTATATTATCTTGTTCAGTCATAATGTGATATATATTCATGTATAAAGGCACCTGTAATTCTTTAGTCCGTTTATTTGTTGTTAGAGGACTAAGTCTCACACAGGCCGTTTTGGGGCAGCATGGGGGTCTTTGACACCATGTGTTCTTCAGTTGACCCAGATGTCGGTAATATGCAGCCACGCTGAGTTGATGTGCTTGTGTTTCTGTGTTTCCAGGTGAGAAAAGTGATGGAAGTAATGTATAAACAAAAGTGACACAGATGTAGAGTATATTGAGTGTGTGAGAGAATCAGACTTCTGTTACTGCAAAAAGTCCAGTTATGTTGAAGTTAACTGAGAGTTAACTGAGAGTTAACTGAGAGTCTTTGAAGTGCAGCAACCTGCCATGTTTGCTATTTCAGAAGTCAGTTGTTACACCACACGTAGCCTTCTTTAATATTATCTGTGTGAGTGTGCAGAATAGTTTGTACGAGTGAGAATCACAAGCAGTGCATCGTGTTTAAGTGAGCTGTTTAAGAGTCTGATACATAATTCAGTCGACCAGATGTCCGGTAATTTTGCAGCCACGCTGAATCGATGTGTTTGTGTTTCTGTATTTTCAGAGATCGAAGTAAATATAATTATTATAAAACCCATGCGATCTGGAGGAGACTAAAATACCTTTTGAAAAGAGTGCTAGTGACGACAACAGCAAACTTCTGAAAAGAAAAACTAGAAGCACACGGCGTGAGCAAGTGAAGAAAAGTTGTAGCGCTCGGAAATATGACGCTGGATGCTGCACCTTTTCTCCGGGTGGCCGTCTGCTGCCTCAAACACTCTTCACTCGTTTGGGGACAATTGAAAAAAAAAAGAAGCTTACACCAGGTGGATAAAGACCTGAGACACTAAACTCCCAAAACAGAAAAAGAACGAGAAGTTCACCTTTCCACAGTTTATTTCCTTTTAAAATAATTCATACAAATGCATACAGTCACAAACATATCTTTGTCAGGTTGTCAGTTTCGACCAAAAATAATGATATTTACTGTAGAATATAGAATATGTATACTGTATATTGCTACGCCTACTACTTCACCAGAAAGGGGACCAAGGTAGGCAACAGTGGACTGTGTGTCACCACCAGGGATGGAATTTCAAGGAGCACCTGGACACCTGTTACCTGTGGCACCCCGTCGATTTGAATCAGGAATGCTTACAGATTAAATCAGGAAAGAAGTCCTCCCCCTCCGACAGCGTCTGCTGAGGAGAGTCAAAGATGTTTGGGCTCCCCCTTCATTTTCTCACCTGGGTTGTGAAATAATAACAGGGGGAGGGGAGGGGGGGTGAGTTGGTGAAATTTCCATCCCTGATTGCTACTTTTACTACCTCACCATGAAGAAGAGCAGGTAGGCAACAGTGGACTGTTTTCAACTACTCAGCCGCTGGGAGGAGGGGGACGCAAGAAGCACTCAGCTGTCCTGCCGAGACAACGACACCTGAGCAGGAATCAGTCATATTTCATAATCAGCTGCTAACACTGAGCACCTTCTTCAATCGTTGGAATGTAACCAATAAGAGCGCCGTAGAGCTCTTATATTTTTTGGTATCGTCGTGAGTGTTTCGAGGATTTCCCAGAGAGCTTATTTGTTGATTTTTTTTCGCTGGCAGTTTTTTTGTAAAGGTGCTGTGTAGGCGGAGTGCTCGCTGCTGCCCCCTCCTCCTCCCAGTGGAGCTTTTTCTTTTTTAAGACACAGATACAACCAAGTCACATCGACACAGGCAGGCAGAACACCATATGTACACATAGACACAGAGGCCACGGAGGGCGGCTGAACGCTACTCCCAGGACGAAACCCCTCGAGAAATGTTAAAGGGCTACTAGACGGTCTGACATGCTGTTTGCTCAAAGGTCGCTCCCTTCAATTATTTATTTTTAGAAAGCTGATCAATCTATATAACCCTAAATGGACTTTAACTGCTGAGAAACTGCTCGTAGAGTTTGTGAGTTCAATCCGGCGGATTTGATGGATCTCTCGCTAAAAGGGGGCGGGGTCGAGGGCTTGACCTACTTATGCTTCATAACCTGGACAATTCACGTTGGAAGTACTGGATCATGATATGAAGAAGACAAACATAAACAACCTGTTTGGAGATTGTGATGCTACAGACTCTCAGTGCATTGCTTCATCCTTCAAAAGGTAATCCACACAAACCGTCTCATACCAGCCATCACGCCATCACGCCATCACGCCACCGCCATGCAGCCGTTCCTCCCACATACTCCCAAGATTTGGATCAAACAGGAACGCTAAAGGCCTTTGCACACCGAGTCCAAATTGGTGAACGTTAAAAAATAAATGCAATCTCATGTTGTGTGTGTGTGTGTGTGTGTGTGTGTGTGCGTGTGCATGTGCATGTGCGTGTGTGTGTGAGAGAGTGTGTGTGTGTGTGTGTGTGTGGTGTCCCTACTTCAAACTTCCAGCCGCTGTTCAGGATCGTTTCCTTTGTGGAAAATCTGGACCACTGACATCCTGAAATACACCTGGAAGTGATCGGGATTATTCTGCAGCTCCTTATCGACCGTAGTGATCGGTGAATCTCTCGCTCTTGTTTTTATTTTCAGGAGTGGACAGACACCTGTTTTTTTTTTATTTAGATCAGTATGAGATATATGGTCTCCTCCTGCAAACTTTCCAAGAGGAAATCAGACTCAGTGTGCAAGGTGTGTGTGTGTGTACCGTTTTTGTTTCAGTATACAGATCTAAAAATCTGACCTTGTGTGCAAAGACCTTTAGTCCAGAGAGCAAAAAAAAAAAATCGCATGCCCCCTAAACAAAACAGACGAAAACCTAACATCAGGTCAACTTTAAACGTTTGTTTAAAGTTCTTTTTGCTAACGCAGTGGGACACAAAAAAAAGGCAAGCAGGTAGAAAAAACAAAAGCACTGAGTGGCATAAAAACAAAAAGATTTAGAAAAATAATATACCAACCGCGGAAACTACATTTCCTGAGATGGTGTGCAAAAAGCTGCCTCTTTTTTTTTTTCAGGGGGAAAGGGAAAGGAGAGGGGCGGGGCTTGTTAATTTGGGGTCACACATGAGAAAAACTAACAAATATTGTATTCTAAGACCAGTTTGGCTACACAGAGAGATCACATAACCCTTGTTTTTTTTTTTTTAAGACTGGAATACAAATATCAGTATTTTCTTGCGGTAAGTCCAAAAACTGTACACGAGACGGGTTACATTCATTTCATAACCTACGAGTTCAAACTAAGGGAAGGACACAGACACAGAGAGAAAGACGGGGGAACAGGCCGCTCACGCTTTAGACACTCCTCCGTCTAAAACAGCAGATTTTGATTCAGTAGATAGTCATCATTCCTTTAACTTCCGGCAGAGGAAAGTGGACTTTATACTGTCGTTGTGATGTGACATGTGGCTCTCAGCAGTGCTTCCCTTTACTTCCTCTTCCTCTTCCAGTTCCTCTTCGTCTTTAGAGTGTGATCTCGCCGCTGTGACGCCAGAGTCGTGCGTCGATCGTTGTTGTTGAGGTCGACCTGTCCGTCCACCTGACACTCTGTGAACCTGTCTGATAACAACATCTCACAAGGAATCGTATCTCTATGAGTCTGGTTGCCATGACAACCTCTTCCAGTCACTAGAAGACATGGGGCGAGAGTGTGTGTGTGTGCGTGTGTGTGTGTGTGTTTGTGGGGGTTGTTGTGTGTGGCTACAGTTGGTCGTTTGGATGCTGCTCTCTGTCGCCCTCTGGTGGCTTGACTGTGTTTTGTCCAGGAGACGGGGCATGAGGAGGGTGTGAGGGGGCGGGCGGGAGGGTGTGTGACATTGGCACGGCGCTTGGGACGATGCCTTCGACGGGCGGCGGGAGGCCCCCAGCGGGCAAGTTCACCACACCTGGAGGATACCTGAGAAGAAGAGAGGGAGGGAGGGGGGGGGACTGAGTCATCCGAGCACAACTGCATCAAACAATAACAACAATCTATCATTTGAAGAGGATGGTGTAATATGACAGGGCAGGCGAGTCCAAGTCACTTTCTCGCCATTTGAAACGGGAACGTCTTTACCCTTCAGTCACAGTAGACTGCCGTGATTTTCAAGCTGGGTCCTGCAAGTGACAAGTCCCCTCCCGAGGGTCTGGGGGGCTGCTGTTGCAGGACCCGACCGAAGACAAACGGCAGCATCTGCCTCTCCCTACCCTCACATCACCAGCAGTTGACCTTTGACCCCAGAACCCCGACTGCAGCCCCGTATGCCACGACAGAAACATTTCACACCGCGACATCAATACACACATCAACACCTAAGAGGACAACTTTTGCTTTTTCTTCAAGTGCTGTTGTTGTGTTTTTATACATTCAAACTTTTTCATACTTTTATGGCATGAAGGAAAACTTGAGGAGCACATGGACACAGCAGGTGTTTTCCTCAGAAGCTTTTGAGGACCGTTGTTTACCATCAAACATCAACATATTTTTAAGCCGCTTGCTTCCACATTCTAAGTCATCAGAGCCTTCAGAGACATTCAGGTTACGAGGAAAGAGTTTGTGGAATCAGAAAGTACGCTTCAAAGATTATCATGTTAGCAAAGAAAATGGAGGTGACCTCACATGCTGAGGGTGTGTTAACAACTGGGAGGTAAAGCTGAAAGACGAGCTCGAGTCGAGTTTGGACGACTGTATGAAGGGAAACAGACGAGAAAGTTTCTTAGCGAGTCACCACCGTTTGCATTTGCCATTTAAACTGTGACGTCAGACATCTTTGTACACCTAGTGGACACTCGAAGAACTGCAGGATTTTACGCTTCTGCGTTGGCTTCATTTTAAAGACCGGAGGTTGCCGCTTGGTTTGTACTTTAAAGTCATGTAGAAATGTCTTTCATGTTGCGTACACACTTGGCCAGTAAAACAGGTTCTGATTGTAATTCTTATTGTAACACAGATTAATGACTTTACCAGAGTTTGGGGATAAAAATCAAACTGTACTGACCACTACAGCTTTCTTTATCCTGATGTCACTTTTTACCTATAAGCCCCGTTGAGCTCGGGGTGGACGGTGGCGGGGTCGACTCCTGTCCAGTGGTTGTTCTGGGTGAGGAACTCCTTATTCACACAGTTCTTCAGACTGTCAGGGACACGACCTGGAAAGCAGCGTCCAGAACAATTTAAAAAATGAAGGAACAAATCGATAGCTCAGTGTTAACAACAAGGAGTGGACATGGAAATGTCCACTGTCCTCACAAACTTCTGCAGTCAGCTGCTACCACAGAAGTTCAACACTCACGACAACATATTACAACATTATTATCAACTATATGAACTCTAAAATAAAGATAAAAGAAGGTCTGTGTACAATGGGTCTTATTGGAGTCGCAATGGATTGTGGGACGTGTAGTTCCTTCACTCCCAGATATAAATGATGTGCACAGTCTTGTACCTTTGCCTTCCTCTCTGTTCTCCAATCGTTTACACCAAATCAAATGCTTTATAGTCACGAGTATTAGGGTTATGAATATTGATTTGAGGATTTTGTGAAATGTAAATGGAGGAATTGGAGGAATTAAAGTGGACGGTCACTGTTAAGCCAGCGGTTAAAAGACTGAGGCTCTTACAAAACCAAAGAATGAGATCACAAGAAAGTTAAAAAGAGAAAGAGGAAACTTGAAAGGAGGAGGTGGTGAGACAGAAATAAAACGTCCGTCTGTAAAAAGATGATTTATGCCCGACTGCAGCAGCAGCACCTAAAAATATCTCTTTTTGTGTTTTTCCATCAAAGCAGTACGTGTGTGTGTCTGTACGTGTGTGTTTATGTTTGAGTGCGCACACACCTGTGATAGCCCTTCGTATCTCCCTGGCTGCCTCCTCTCTCATCTCCAGAGAGGCCTGCTCACTGTACCAGGCAGCGTGCGGCGTGCAGATCAGGTTGGGAGCGTCCTTCAGCGGGCCCTGACTGAAACTGACCCGTGGTAAAAATAGTACAAAGTGAAGTCAGTTACAGCCACACAAAAAAAGAGATCACATTCATGGCAGACTGATGGGACACTAATGTGTTTACATGGACCTGATTTTTCAAGTATCATGTTTTTTTGTTTGTGCATGTAAACAAACCGGGATAAGCCCTTATCCTGATTTTGGAGAACCATGTTTTTATTCCCGGAAGACTCCATGAAACTGTGGCATGTTCTTTACGCCGGTTTCTGACAGCTGCAGACTACCTGCCCAGGCGCGGCCTCAGCCAAATGACATTATAGCAAAACAAACATGGCGACGGCAACAAGAGCGTCTTACTTCTGGAGAGACAAAGAAACTGAGTTCTGCCTCAAGCTAATAATAAAAATGTAATTTATTGGAAGTTTAGCTGACGTATTCAAGTCTGCGGTGAACGGGCTACAGGTCGTGGGAAAGTGGCCTACTTAAGAAACATTACTACGACCCTGTCCCACCAATCACGACTGCGTATCATCACCCATTGCTCCCTTGGCCTACACAGTGGCAGTGACAGGCTGACAGCACTCAGAGGTGAGGAGGACATGTTTCATATTTGCTGTCGCTCTCTTTTCCTGTTGCTGGAAATGAGATGGAGACGGTATATCTGCAACGCAAGGTTTGCATTTAAGTCCTCAATACGCCACAGAGGCGTCCCTTTTGTCAGATTTCTAATTTGTCGCGGTTTGAGTTGTAGAAAATAAACATCACAGGCGCCTGCACAAATAAGACGCAGTAATCATAAACATGGATACTTGTATTTATCATGTTTACAGCGATATGAAGAACCAGGTTTCTCTGTGTGCATGTAAACACCAGATCCTGAATCTGATCCAAACCAGGATGAGACTCATAACCAGGATACTGCATACCAAGTGAACACACTGATTGTTAGATTCATTTAGCTCTCGTCTGTAAAATGTCTTCAGATTGCTGAACTGGTTTTCCAACAGTGAATAAACCACCGATACTAAACCAAGAAAGATGTAGAACAAAATAAAACCTCACTTTTAAGAGGAGGACCTCATTCTTTTGTCACAATCCTTCTTATTAATGACCGAGATGATTCAGCTTCTTGAGCTTTGACAGAAGAAGGAAACAGTTCAAGAATCGAGCAGTTAACTGATTGATCTGAACGCTACCTGAAAGGCTCCGTCTCATGAACGTCCAGAGCAGCTCCACGTATCCTCCCCTCCTTAAGGGCCTGAGCGAGGGCCTTCTCATCCACCAGACCCCCCCGGGCTGTGTTCACCAGGAACGCCCCCTGACGCATCTTTACACACACACACACACACACACACACACACAAACACACTCACACACATGAACAGTCTAAACTAATGTCATAATATGTCAAAACATTTTTTTAACATGAGTGAGAGTCCTTGTTTGCTTATACCATCTTTGCAAAGCACAGAGTGGGTGTGAGACTGACTGGCTGTTCGTGTGTGTGTGTGTGTGTGTGTGTGTGTGTGTGTGTGTGTGTGTGTGTGTGTGTGTGTGTGTGTGTGTGTGTGTGTGTGTGTGTGTGTGTGTGTGTGTGTGTGTGTGTGTGTGTGTGTGTGTGTGTGTGTGTGTGTGTGCTGTGGCCTTTCTACCTGTTTGATGGTGAAGTCGTTGATCAGGTGGTGGTTGTGTTCGTTTAGGCTGCAGTGCAGAGAGACGCAGTCGGAGTGGAAGAGCAGGTCCTTTAGGAGAAATGTAGAAAGAAAGTGTCAGGAATAAATCCCATCTCTCTGTTTCTATTGGACACGACTGATTCTTTACTCGAGGCTTCACACGCAAAAGAACTCTGTTTCAGATTTTCCATAAAAAAACAAGTTTAAGCTTTTGTTCATGAATAACTTAAAGGTCCAATCAGTAAGATGTGTAGAGACTGAAATGATAAAGTGACCTTACTAAACTGCCTGGCCAAAAGTCGCCACCAAAAAAAAAGATCACACACTCTAATATTTCGTTGGACCGCCTTTAGCTTTGATTATGCCACGCATTCGCTGTGGCATTGTTTCCATAAGCTTCTGCAATGTCACAAGATTTGTTTCCGTCCAGTGTTGCATTCATTTTTCACCAATAACTTGTATTGATGATGGGAGAGTCGGTCCACTGCACAAAGTCTTCTCCAGCACATCCCAAAGATTCTCAAAGGGGTTAAGGTCTGGACTCTGTGGTGGACAATCCATGTGTGAAAATGATGTCTCATGCTCCCTGAACCACTCCACCACAATTTGAGCCCGATGAATCCTGGCATTGTCATCTTGGATTAGCCCGTGCCATCAGGGAAGAAAAAATCCATTGATGGAATAACCTGTTCATTCAGTATATTCAGGTCGTCAGCTGACCTCATTCTTTGGGCATTCTAATGTTGCTGAACCTAGACCTGACCAACTGCAGCAACCCCAGATCACAGCACTGCCCCACAGGCTTGTACAGTAGGCACTAGGCATGATGGGTGCATCACTTCATCTGCCTCTCTTCTTACCCTGATCACTCTGGGTAAATCTTCCTTCTAGTTTTTAATAATGTGTTGGACAGTTCTTAACCCAGTTTTAGTAGTTTCTGTAATCTCCTGAGATGTTTTCTCTGCTTGATGTAAGCCAATGATTTGACCCTTCTCAAACAGACTTAACATCTTTTCCACGACCACAGGATGGGTCTTTCAACATAGTAGTTTAAGAAATGAGAAGCTACTCATTGCATTAGTTGGGGTTAAATAACTTGTTGCCAGCTGAAAGATAATCGCCCATGCAGTTATTACCCAATGGGAGGCTCTTACCTATTTGCTTAGTTAAATCCAGGTGGCGACTTTTTTTTTTGGACAGGAAGTGTATATGATCAGACATTAAAGAAAAATCTGACCATTAAGAAGCACAAGAGGGCATCACTCCTTCATAATGTGATTCCAGAGAGTGCAGTGTTTTTTCAGCAAAGAGAAAAGTATAATGACAGACTAACTCTGGATCTATTTACATTTTATACTCATGATGTTTTTTTATTGCCTTAGTTTAGTGAAAATGGCTCTTCAGCATATACTGAATATTTCCGTCATGGGAGAAATATTTTGTTAATACTTGGGCTGCGTGCAGAGCAGCTAAATAAAACAAAAACAGCTTCCAACCCACAGACAGTAAAGAGCAACAACAAGACGTAGATTTAACAACATGCAGCTGTCTGATGTCCACTGTGGCTGGCTTTATGGCAACGGTATCCTTATGATCACAAATTACATTAATACGCTAAACTAGTTCCTGCAAAACACAGAAAGGAAAATTAAGAATACAAATTGATTAGCTCTGAGTATTTTTATTTGCTTCATCACTTTAATTTAGTTTGTAAGTATTAGCTCTGCAGTGTTGATTTTAGCTCCTTACTAACTGGACTAAAGGAAGTCAAGTCAGACTTATTTATAAAGAGCATTAATTGGATCAGCTGAAAAATGATAAGAACACAGAGACTGCAACAAGGAGCCCAGAGGACTGAAATGCTGACATATAGAAGTAAGTTTTAAAGGCGGGACTTGAAGAGTCATCAGAGGGGGCAGACCTGATGGAGGGGGGAAGGCTGTTAAATAGTTTAGGGGCCTTTACTGCAAAAAGCACGATCACCTTTGCGCCTCAGACATGAATGAGGGACTGGCTGGGGGCCCATGGCAGACGACCTAAGGGGCCTAGAGGAAGTGTAAGGGCTTAGGAGGTCTGTCATGTACAGGGGAGGGGGGAGCCGAGCCATTCAGGGCTTTAAATACCAACACAACTGTCAAATACATTTTGAGGCTTTTTGTGAGCCAGTGAAGCGACATGAGGACAGAACTAGATCATATTTTGATTAAACACACGAGCGTAAAACGACAGGAAGATTGCTCACACGGCAGATTAAAGATGTCCCCTCTCATTTCCATCTGTTTGTCATACCTGTAGTGTTGTGACCCGTTGTAGTCCCAGGGATCTCTCGACACCGTCAGCCAAATATGGGTCATAGAAGATCACATTAAAACCGAAGGCCTTGGCTCGCAGGGCTACAGCCTGGCCGACTCGACCTAGAAACACACGAGTACACATGAGGCATGGAGGAGCTCACATATTGACTCACAAACAGGAACATTAAACACATGAGTTCACGTTGAACTGGAGCATTCAAAACAGCATATTTGCGTCTCATTTAACCTGTGTCTTTTTCCTTGTACAAAGCACAGATTTCTCTGTCTGCACACAGCTGCTCATTATGACTTGAAAAGCTTCCAGACTGTACAGGGAGGAGATTTACGTCCTGCTTCTTTTTAATCCGCTTAAATGTTATTGGCAGTTACTTCTCAGGAAGCCAATTTAGCTAAGCAAAGGACAAAACTTCTCAAAGTGGAAATGCAAAAGAGAGAAAAATCCCCTGATTAAAAAAAACTTCAGCTCTATTCCTGAGCAACAAATCAACGGTGTGTCAGTCTGAGCAACATGTACCAGGAAGATGAAACAATAAAAACTCTTTCAAACCTTTTACTCATCTGGCAATGTTGCTCTAATTTTTGGTCCGGTGTTAAATATCTTTATCGACCGCCTGGAGCCAAATGCACCAGCTGGGCGAACACCTGGGTGTAACGTTACCTCGGACTTAGAGCTGAAACTCCCGACCAACTTAAAGTTATGCCCTCTGCACCACTTTGAATTTAGCCTGTTTGTGCTGCACACGGGTGTGACTTTTTTGCCTCGGATGGAGCAGGTGAGAGTTAGAAAATCAGACTAATTGTAACATTCAAGAAACTTAAAAGGAAAACGCGACGGCATCGTGTTTTTTGGCTGATATTTGAAAAGGCATTAAGACGAGAGAGAGAGTCGATCGTGATGGGACAACAAAACCCACAGGAAGTTTACACTTGAGACAGTGGGCCGATTGAATTGAGATTTAGCTGACAACCCCTGTTTGAATTGAGTAGCTCTCCCCTCAACTAGCCTACAGCACTGACACTTTTACTACAGGAATGTGGTTTCAACTTCTATCTGAACCACTTCTCTTGACCGCTTCCATCACTGCAACACCTGTTTGACCTGATAACTGCTCTCATATCTGACAAACCGAGGGGCGTCCAAAACGGCCGTGTGGGGGGTGTCTTAAAAGCGCCTACCTTCTCTGGTCCAAACAAATCCAGAGCATTCAGGAGCAGAATCTAAAGTTAGAAGGAGGACATACTGGCTGCTGCATTGTTGTCAGAGAAGCCAGCACTTCAACATAGCATGTTTCCTTAATGTCTGATCAGATAGTAAGGTCTTTTTATCATTGAATTCAGTAGATATCTTACTGATTGCTCCTTTAAACAGCATGTTGTAGGTCTCTCTGATTAGGTGTTGTTACTCACCGAGCCCTATAAGTCCCAGTGTCTCTCCTCTGATCCTCGCAGCTCCTGACGCCACCTCTCGGATCTGCTCCACGCTCTGCACCCTCGTGCCCTCTCTGAGAGCCTGACATGAAGAACAAAAAAAATACATTAGTGCAAATATCTCTCAGACAGCAGAAATCCAGATTCTGTGAAACCCAGACCAGGTGTATTTCAGTCTGAATCTCTTTAGATGATCATGAATATATAAAACGAGAGTCTAAATAAAGATTTTTCTTCCATCCACAAATAATTTCACATTGCCTTCTACATCTTAACATCAATGACTTTTAGTAATTTCCGGTTAAAAGTGTGACAACTGAAGCCGTCTTCAGTGGAGTTCATTTAGACACACTTGATCTCAGTCCTTTTCATGAGCCACACAATGTTACAAACCTGGTGCAGCCAGGTGGTGCGTCGGTACAAGGTGAGGATATGACACAGTGTGGAGTCTGCCGTCTCCTCCACTGAGGCTGCTGGCATATTACAAACGGCTATGCCTGTCGGACCAGAGAGCAAGATAAGGATTAGTCATAGCTTCTGGGGACATTTTTAGGAGCAAGATGACGTTTTGTGGAAGTTACTTCTTTATGGAAAAGTGCAGAATGAAGTCGTGAGTAAGCAGATTTCTCTACAAACTCCACTGAAAACTTTAAATAGCGAAGCCTCCTGGTGGCAGGAGATAGAGGATATTAGGACAGACTGCAGTTTTAATGAGGAGCCGTAGTGACTCCATTTTTTAAATACAAATATAACCAAGTCCAGACGAGACAATACCTATTAGTGGCATTAAACGCACTTCATTCTCGTGCCTTGAGCTCCTAGTTGGACTGTAAAACAATAACGATGGATGGAAAAGGAAATATGTCAACTATATGAAGATATACTGGCTACACCTGAGACATTTTCACATCTACACTCCTGAAAATATCTAGATCATTTCAGGAGGACTGCTCCAGTATCCTCCTGACCTGGTTGTTCACATATGCTCCTCACAGCTGGAGACTATCCCTGTCAGACAGGAGGGGGGGCGGGGGGGTCTCCCGAAGTAAGACATGACTTAAAAAAAAAAAGACGACGCAGAGGTAGAGGACGAAGCAACAGAGTCCTCTACACTAGTGTTTCTCAAATGGGGATATGTGTACCCCTAGGGGTACGTGGGAGTACTGCAAGGGGTACGTGACAAATGTAATTAAAAAAGTTCTATCACAACAAGCCAAATTAATGATTTATAGGAAAATCCATACACTGATTTAAGACATATGTTCTCTATGCAACATCAAATAGGGCACTATTTCCAACTTGAGGAATTCAATGTCAATTAATCACTATAATGAGAAAATGTTTGCCTTTATATCATGACAACATCAACAAAAAAGAGGAGAAGAACATACTGGAGAACAGAAAACGTAATGCAGCCGTTTAATGTGGAGCACAGAGATCGTAGCAGACGCGTGCAGACACTCTATGCACCGTGCAGCAGTCACATTGTATAGACGTCACTCCCCCTCCTATTGGCTCGAGGTGAATTCTCCTGATAATATCCTGCTGTGTTCTCACATCAGCACGCTCGGACTTGCTGCGGAAAAAATACTAGGGGGTCTGGCAGAAGAAACTCCGGCTGAAGTGAAAAATGTGTCTATTTGTGTTCACACATACTTTTTTCAGGAGATTTCTGTGAGTTTGAAAGCCCTATAAGTCTCAGCCGTCGTATCAAACAGTACACAGACTGGCTAACTGGCTTCTTTGTAGCTGAAGGCTGCGGTGTGAACTAGTTCCATAAAGCAAGTTTAATGTTATTGCACGATTAGTCCAACTATGAAACTTCTATTTTAAGGTGCAAGAATGACAGATTGTTGTGTCAAAGACACGACTTTGGATCTTAGTATTTTACTATTTTATTTAAAATGTTTTTACATTTAGTTGAACTGAATCATAAATTGATAAACACTTAAATAACTCTTGTTGTTTGTAGTCCTTATCAGAGCAATGTGGACCAACACAAGCTGTCTGTGTGGACATGTGTGTGTTTTGTGTGTGTGTGTGTGTGTGTGTGTGTGTGTGTGTGTGTGTGTGTGTGTGTGTGTGTGTGTGTGTGTGTGTGTGTGTGTGTGTGTGTGTGTGTTCTCACCAAGTTCCCCGGCAGATTTGATGTCGATGTTGTCGTAGCCGCTGCCGATGCGGACGATGATGCGCAGAGCTTTGAACTTCTCCAGATCTTCTCTCATCAAGGTGATGGTGTGATACATGAGAGCTCCCACAGCTTCATTCAACACCTGAAAACAAATACTCAAGTTATTTAAATTATAGACAGATAACCACGTGTGGTGGTGAAATATCTAAACCCGTACTGCTTTAGCCTCTGTGCTCACAGGGAGCCCAGATGAAACCGATAATCACGCATGCATAAGGGTGTCTGTTTGCAGAAGATAGGCTCAACAAAGTGAGAGACACTGTTAAAGGTCAGGCCATCAGCAGCGTGTGTGTAGGTGTGAGCATGGCTTTGCAGAAATCAATACCAGTGAGAGACCGTTAGCTGAGCTCAGGGTTTCCATAAACATCTTGGTGAAGGATTTTTCAGTGTCCACAGTTGACATGTTTTCTTATATTTCCTGTTTAAACAACAAGGACTGTTAGCTGTCCCTCAGTATTACCATGGAAACTAATCCTTTATAACCACAGGGATCCAGATAAGGTGTCTCTGCATGTTACACACGCCTCATATCAGCAGGAGTGTGATGGGATTGTTGTTGCTGTTTAAAAATGAAAATATTCTGAATCAAAAGCCGATAGCTCGTCTTTGTCGGCGTGAAAACTGTTTCATTCAGCCTCTAATTGGTTTTCTGCTGATTTTCCTTATGATGCCAGCCCTCGTCTTCATGTGTGGAAGAGAGGATGAAAATGACATGCGGTTCAATTACAATATAGAAGCCCTTTTAATTACACAATGAGGTGGCTGCTCAGTAGACAGCCAGAGATGGAGGGAAAGAGAGAGAGAGAGAGAGAGATAGTGAGCGAGGGAGAGCCATCTGTTTCTCCCACGCTGTGGCCTACTGAGCGCGCTCTCAGAGAGAGTGTGCCTGGCAGACACCCAGAACCAAACGTAACCCTGCCAGACATACAAACCCATTTACACTCCACAGTGACAGTGGCAAGACACGAGCCTGACCCACATTTTGAGTTTGCTCTCTTCTTCAAAGATCTCCTCATGTTCACGTGTTGTCAGTGTGAGACCTGTAGAGTAGGTCTGCATGATTTGCAGCTCAGAAAACTTGTTTATCTGATAGTGTCGTTATTTCAGCCTCTGCTGTCTCTTTAAGGCCTCCCTCCACATGTGCCCCCTTTCTTCTGATTGGCCAGCTCTCTGGAAGCAGAACGCTGCAGGGCTGCCAGGGGAGGGTTGATCTCCAGTGCTGGGAGAAAAGAGTCTATGTAAGAGGTTTCACCAGCTTACGTAGAGGCTTGAGGCCGTCTTGTCTGTTTCATATCGGGGAACTATGGCGTGCTTTGCAGAACAAGCTGTTTAGCGCCCTCTGCGGACTCATCCTGGGATTACTCCAACATACGTTTACCTCATGATCTGAAACGTCGCTCCACGTTTAGTTTGGGCATGCAGCATTTCTATGATCTTACTTACATTGTGTGTGTTATAGTAAAGCTGAAGTGTGTTACCTTCTCATGGATCTCCTGTGTGGACTGGGCGTCACAGAAGGCAACGGTTGCTACATCTTTCAGGATGGGCATCTCCACAGTGCAGTCACGCCCGTCCAGCAGCGCCACCAGGGGGCGCGGGTGCATAGGCCCATTCATAATGGGTGGTCTGATGCCTACGCACAAAAAAAAAGAAACAATCTGTTCAAATGAATTCTGTGATGAAGCACATACACAACTAAAACCCCCTTTACAGACGCTTGAAATCTTGTGTTGCTGCAGGCGTGCACATACTCTCATATCTTCAAGTTTCAGTTAGTCAGTCAGAAACCTAGAACTGAAGCTATGCTGTTGTTCCCGATGCTGCATCCCATAATGTTTCCGCTCTGCACTGATGCAGTTGCTATGACAACTGTGACAGGAAGCATGGAGGAAATACAAAAAGGAAGTTCTCAGCTGTCTACCTGCTTCACACAAAATGTTGTGTTCTGGGGGTGTGCAGCTGTTTTTCTCTGTTTTATAAGAAAGCATGTTTTTTTCTGCCTTTGTGTTCAGATTTGTGGACTCTTTCGGCCAGGCAGTGATTTTAAAGACAGGTATGCTAATAAAACACAGATAGTAAAAAATATGACTTAAAAAAACGGGAGGCAAAAACACAACGATAATATGGCAGTGTGCACTACATGTCCCTCCCAAGCGGCAACCTTTGGTCTTCCAAAATGAAGCCAATGCCGAAGTCCAGAGCCCCCTGCTGTAACAGATGGCTGACGTCACTCAGGCTTCGTCCGTTAATATTTACAGTCTATGGTAACCCCATGCTACACACACATGCCCCCCCACTTTTAGAAGTAGGCTGGTCGACAGTGAAATGCTACTTGAACAGCGAGTTATGCCTGTATGATCCATTTACTGTCACTGTACACCGACCCTCACGGCCCTACAGCCAGCCCAGCCCACCATTTATGTGAACTTCCTCATAAATCTAGAAACTTTGAAACATGACAACATTTGGGCTTCCCACACTGAGCGTGTCGTCACAGCAACATGACCGCCGTGGGAACATGGTCTATATGCTGTCTACTGTATCTCTCGGTTAGTCTCTCCTCTATGGTAACTGAAGGGTTAATCTTTGAAAGACATACTGACCAAGCTCGGAGACATCTGAGAGACAGACTGATGTGGATTCAGTGTATGTAATTGGGTCTCTGTGACATGCAGAGATTTGACAGCCCTCTGAAGCCTTGTAGATAAAAGAATCGGAGAGCAGAGTGATTCTGGTTTCTGCTGACGCTGAGCGAGCCCATCACTCACTCCTGACTGTTTTCTATCTCAGACGTGCAGGCTGACATCTCACATAAGCAACAAACTCTGTCACTTCACTCAAAATAAGTCTCAAAAACTTTTCTTTACGACTCAGACATCCAGATATACATCGAGCAGTCTCTAAGTTTGATACTTTTTTCCAGTTTAAACGACCTCTTTGTTACCGTTTGTTTAATGCCAAAGATCCCTGACTATCAGATCTGTGGAAATAAGTTTGTCAGCATCAAAACTGCAAATTTGTTTGGAAAAATCCATGTTGTGGCAGAGCATAAAACCAGTTTACTGTCCACAACTACTGTCAGCCTGGGTGCTAAACACTTTAGCATGATGCTACCTCCTCTGACTTCAGAGGTCTGACATTTGTCATCAGTGTTTTTAAATGTAGCTGATAAAAATCCCTGATGCATGGAAATATTCTAACATGATGTCTTATTGACACCTGGCTGGCTCGCCGGTTCTTTTTGCCAGTTTTCTTTTGAACAGCTCGGTGACCAGAAGGTGACGGCTGTGTTGTACTGAGTGTGAGTGAATAAGTCGAACTGCACAAAACATAAATAGGTAATAAACCTCACTGGACAGTTGTCAATGGATGAGCCTCCTCTTGTCTCGTGTGAAAGGCTGGAACAGACTTGATTTCATTCTAGCTCAGGCTTGTCCATGTTGTTGTTTGTGATAAACACACTCAGGCTTGAGTGAGCCAGTGTGCATGCATGAGGAAATAATGTATACAGAGCATGCATGCATCTCTGGGTCATTCTCCAGTGTGCTGCAGTGTTCAGGGTTTTACTATAACAGAAAACAAGTATTTAGGATCGGAAATTATATATCTATTATAGTTAAAACTTGCAACGAATCCTTTTAGATTAGTTCCGTAATTAAGTGTTTTTAAAATTTTGAGAACGACAGTCTGTAATGTGAAAAGTATTAACTGTTACACAACGTTCATTAAACAGATGTGTGTGTATGTGGGTGTATGTATGGCTGCAGCTGCAGAGCGTGCTGTGCGGCCAGACGACACACCAAAGTAGGCGTGTGCGTTCAGGGTCTATATCTTCATTCTTTTGACTGAACACAGCGCTCTGTGACGGAGGAAAGTCTACACAATGAACTGTCATCACTTTACAACATGTTTTTGTGTGAGAGCTGCGAAAGCCGTGTGAATGAATATATGTTAAAAGACTGAATTTACTTCCTATATTTACAGTGAATAAGAGGCGGATCATCAATCGTGGGGGGAATCTGAACAGAGCATCCGACAGATCTCACATAGAGACGCAGAAAGATTTTATTCAATGTGGGGTTTTTTCTGCTGCAGTAGTTAAGGAGGAGCGTGCTTGCTGTTAAGGTAGCTGTCTTTAAAAAAAAATCTTAAATTGTATTTTGGGCTGTTTGCCTTTGATTGGATAGGACAGCTGACGAGAGACAGGAAACGCCAGGAAGATGGACTACGACATGCAGCAAAGGGCAGAGGTCAGACCTGAACCCAGAGCGGCTGCGACAATGACTCCAATCGCGAGGCTGTCCTGCACCCCAAGGCAGCCGTCTGAAACACTGTAAATAGGAAGTATGAGAACACTGATATTTACAGCCTGAGTATTTTTCATGTATTATTTGTCGGTTGCTTTTGGTTTTAGGTTGCAGTGATGTCATTCAACTACTAATTTGACAACCTGAGAAATAATCTGGAAACACCTTTTGTGAATGAGATATGCATCTTAACACCATCACTGCATTTCATGTTTTTAACACCTCACTTCCATTTACCTGTGTTGTACACGTCCAACAGCGCTTCCGATTGGATGATGAACCGCATTGTTTGACACTACAGCTGCAGAGAAGCTCACAGTTTAGCATAATCCATCACTCAGTCTCTCTATTGTCTTCTTATCGGCGATGTCAGATTACAGCATGAAAGCTGATCTGATGAAGCAGAGCAGCACGAGCAATAAGGTGAAACTCAAATCCAGCTCACAGTGCTTCATGGGAGCTGGTAAAACATTAGCTTTCCATAATAGGATTTGCCTAAAGGCCATTGCACTTTCACATCGACACAAAATCAATGGTGCATGGCTGAGAAATTGGAATTGAACAAGTGCAAAAAGTACTTTCAGGCTTCAACACAGCCTTCATTGTATCTCAGATATAATCACAAGTAGCAGGATTGCCTGTAGCAGCTGCTTCCGGCCTACAGACTCTTCTTTTTTTGCACATTTCATTTGACCGGTAAACCTCCTGGGAACAATCAGAGATGATGCTGTCATACACAAAATAATAAAATCTGCTCACTCAGTGTAATAATCGGTTGTACGGCAGAGTGGTGTTTTTGGAAAAGTAGCAGAGATTCCAGACATTTCTCGGGCTCACACTCGGTCACAGAGCGAGGGGAGGAAATAGCTTTCATTCCAGCACCGAGCGTGACCTTGGGAGGACCAGCCACTCTCGTTCTGACTGCTGAGCAGTACAGTATGATAAAACGCCCGTTCATTCTGTGTCTGCTTCGCCCACACACACACACACACACACACACACACACACACACACACACACACACACACACACACACACACACACACACACACACACACACACACACACACACACACACACACACACACACACACACACACACACACACACACACACACACACACACACACACCTCAGTGCCAACACTTTAAATATAAATCTACTGCCTCTCTCAGGATATGAACTCAAACAGAAGTGGACATTATCTGTTTCATCTCTTTAATTGAATGTATTTTCTCGCTTTATAGTCACATTAAACCCTCATTCAATTCTTCATTATATTAAATAATTGCTTTTCTCATTCCCATTACTATAAAAGCCAACACATGTCCCGATATGTACTTTTCCGTTCTCATAATTTTCCATTCTTCAGTTCATTTTCTCTCTCTCTCTCTCTCTCTCTCTCTCTCTCTCTCTCTCTCTCTCTCTCTCTCTCTCTCTCTCTCTCTCTACCCCCCCCAAGTAGCCCCGGGGTGGGATGACCGCTGGGAGCTTTCCCAGTGCAAACAGGCCTCCTGACTGCCAACGGGGATCACAGCCCCAGTTCTCCCCTTACACCCCCCCACCCCCATCTACCCAGGGTTTCTCTGCAGCCACGCTTTAATTCAGATTTACTACAGTGTTGGTTAAACACTTTAAAGCAGTGCAGTAGAACGGATTCGCTGCCAAGATGGCAACAAAAATAGAAGCAAAGTACTATTCCTTTAAATCAACAATATGAGCTGCAGGACCTGGGGCAGCATGAGGTCCTTTGAATCTGTTTTAAAATACTGCAATCACACAAACATGACACTAAGGACATTTGACTGACATGTAGAGATGGGGGGAAAAGAATCCACCAATGACTGTTTGGACTGAGGACATGAAAGCCCTGCAGCCTGCCTGTATCCGGCTGTCAGTGACCAGCTAACGAGAACAACTGGATTTTTATCCCGGGCGGATGAGACATTTTCAGACTGTTAGTCAACAGAAACGATCTTCCTGTTTCCCTTTTCCTGTTTCTTTTTTTTTTTTACATGCGGGTCACGGGGAGGTCTGCCAGCCTCAACAAGGAAGCAAAAATGACTTGCATGTTCCTGGTTATGGACTTCAGTATCCTGGTTATGAGTCTCATGCTGGTTTGGATCAGATTCAGGATCTGGTGTTTACACACAGAGACACATGGTTCTTCATATCTCTGTGTAATGATGTCATGATCAAAATGAGTATCCTGCTTTCTGATTGCTGCGTCTTATTTGTGCAGGCAGCTGTGATGTTTATTTTTACAACACAAACAGCAACAAATTAGAAATCTGAGTGAAATGAGACCACTGTGGCTTATTGAGGG